GTTATGAATCGGGGGGCCGGGCCTGCGGGACGGCGCCGGGACCCGCTGCCCGGGGGTGGGCGGGCGGAGGGAGCCGCGGAGCTGGCTGGCCGGCTCCCTGCGGGCCGCGGCCTTGTCAGCGGCGGCTCTGATGCCCTTCTGAGCCTCGCCTTGGCCACCGCAGCCCTCCCTGTCGAGGGAGTTCCGATCTGTCTGTTGTAACTCTGGGAGCCGGGGAGCTGACCGCTGCGCTGGGATCTTACGGCTCAGGGCAGCAGCGCTGGGCTCTGTTGATGTGAAAATCGCCACCTGAGCGGGGAGGGCCTGTGCTTGCAGCATCGCTTTCTGGTGTGTAATTTCCTGCCTGTGACAGCATTGCTTATGTTAATTATACGCAAAACTGACAACGAGGCTCTTCCTAACCTGTGTTTTTCCTATCTTAGCTTAAAAAAAAGCCCCACTGTAATGTGTTTTGGGCATAGCTGCTTCCAGTCATTATTTTTTTTATTACGGTCTTACCCATTGCCTGAGTTGGGGTAAGGGCTCAGCTGGGTTAAAGGCTCTCGCACTTTAATCTTTGTAATGTGTCGGGTGTTCCCAGAGTGACCCTGGCTTTGTTGGAGGGCAAAAAGATCGCACAGTCTATCTGTCGTCTCCTTACAGTCCACAGAAGCTTTGGAATTCATGAAACGGGACCTGGCGGAGTTCACTCAAGTAGTGCAGCATGACACAGCCTGCACTATCGCTGCTACGGCCAGCGTGGTCAAGGACAAGCTGGCAGTGAGTACAGAGGCGGGAGAGCTGGGATTCTTCTTGCAGAAAGCAAAGCGGGGGGGTGAATGGCCTCTGAGGACATGATCCTCTGAACAAACCCCAACGTATAACCACGAGCTTCAGGCTTCAGGCTTTCTCCCCGGGGCAGGTTCGGTGCCGAGCACTGCATGGCATTTCCTTGCTGTAGAGGTGAGGAACCTCTGGAGATGAGTGGAGACAGGTTCCCTGTGCTTTCCCTCTCCCAGTGTGCCGTGTAGCTGGGATACTGGCAGCGTCACTGTAGTATGGCATCAGATCTCTGCGCAAGCTGTCAGCCTTAGCCCTGCACAGCTGCCGCTGTGACAGTCCAGCCCCCAAACCAGCCAGTCCCCAGACCTGGCTGTGTCCTTCTCTGCAAAGCCTAGGCTCATTTCTGGGCAAACCTATTGCAAGGCCTGCCTGCCCCACCGCACCTGAGGCTGGTGCCTGCCACCACACCCTTCTCCTCGCCCAGCCCTGGCCACACAGTCGCCTCATTAGCACTTTTCTGAAGGGAGAGATGTCCTGCTTCCTTAAAGGAACCTGTCCAGAAAGGACCGAGACTTGTCCTGCTGCTGCAGGTACTGCTACTTACACTGTGCTGCTTTTTCTCTTCAAGAGGGCAGAAGGTTCCTCAGGTGCGACTGAAAAGGTGAGGAAAGGGCTCTCTGACTTCCTGGGTGTCATCTCAGACACATTTGCTCCCTCGCCGGATAAGACCATTGACTGCGATGTCATAACACTGATGGCAACTCCCTCAGGTACCACGGAGCCCTATGACAGCGCCAAGGTGAGTGCCCCGTTCCCGGAGCTTCGCCGGGATGCGGAGTCCCGAGCCCTGTGCTCTTGGGGCTCTGCTGCTGCCCCTCCACTGACAGCTCTGCCCTCTGCGTCTTCCCCTCCAGGCTCGCCTCTACAGCCTCCAGTCGGACCCAGCCACCTACTGCAACGAACCCGATGGTACGGGGGGGCTTGGCAGTGCTGCCGAGCCAGGCTGGCCCTCGCCTGGGTCTGTGGGCCGTCCGGAATTTGCCCAGAGCCTTTCTCCAGCGGGTCTGCTGGCATGGCTGTAGATGGGGTCGCTGTTTACAGAGCAGATCTGTCTGTTGCATTGGGGACTGGCTTAGACTGAGAGTTTGCTGGGTCAGTTTAAATTGCCGCTACAGCTGGCGCTATGTGGCCTCATGCTGACAGAGGACCCACGACGTGGGGTGGGCTCAGAGACCCACGTCTCCCTCCTCCTTTGCCCCTTGCCCACCCCAGCTGGTCTGGTCCGTAGTATTTTTCCAATGAAACTTCCCCAGACTGTTCCTGCTCTGTTTGTGCCAAGGACTGTTATTTCTGTGCTTGTCCTGTACAGGCCCTGCTGAGCTCCTCAAGGCCTGGCTCTCTCAGTTTAACCTAGAGGAGAAGAAAGGGGAGATCGCAGAGCTGCTGGCAACCAGCCCTTCCATCCGGGCTCTCTACTCCAAAATGGTAAGGCCCTGCCTGGCTCCTGTAGTGGGCAAGTTCTGACTTGAGGTGTGGTGGAGGGGAGCTCTGAGCTGCTCGGGCCCTGGAGTCGGTGGCAGAAAGGACTGTGGTTGCATGGTAAACTGCCGCAGGGATTAGGCAGCATATTGTGGTGTTCTTCCCTGCTTGTTTGTCATGGGGCTGGAACAGAAGTTCCTCTGTAGCTGCTTGGTGTGTGTCTGAACATCTGCCGGTGCGTACCTGAGGCTTGGTCCCAGGTCTGCGCACCTGAAAACGCAGGTGCCTTGCGCGGGTTATGAGGGTAGCCGCAAGGCTCGGGAGGAGAGGGGAGCAAGGCAGCAAGCGCAGCCCTCCCGCTGAAGTCACTCGTGGTGTTTCCCGTGTCGCTCCCAGGTGCCGGTGGCCGTTTCCCATTCTGAATTCTGGCAGCGCTACTTCTATAAAGTGCATCGCCTGGAGCAGGTAGGTCAGGAGGTGGGTGTCTCCCCCCGTGGGTGGGCACTCCAGCCAAGGAGCTCTCTAACGCAGACCAAAAAGGCAGAAGAGAATTTTCGTGGAAAAGCAGGGATCTGGGCTGCCTTGTCTGTGTCCTTGTTGTCACTGACACTGAAATGCCTGGGGGAAGAAAGGGCTGGGGACGTGAGTCACTGCTGACAGTGAATTCCCTGCAGGATGAAGCCCGGAGGGAGGCTCTGAAGCAGCGAGCGGAGCAGAGCATTCACCAAGAGGAGCCGGGCTGGGAGGAGGATGAAGGTGGGTCAGGTGGTTGGGGATCTGCGGGAGGGCTCGTGCAGACCTTGGCAGGTCTCAGTTAGAGAGGGTGGTGGCTCCTCCTCGCTCCCACAAATCCAGCTCCCAGCCCAGCTGCAGCCAACCCTGCTGCACTGTCAGCTGCTGCTGCGCTTGCTGAAACATCTCTTGCTTCTCTTCTGCCTTCCTACAGAGGAGTTCTTGGGGATGTCACCCCTGCCTTGTGCAAACGTGAAATTTCCAGAAGCAGCAGAGAAAGAATCTGCCCCTGCAGCCCTGGAGGGAAGCCACCCCACTGCTCACAAGGGACCCTCAGAGGAAAGCTGGGCCGTCCTCCCTCCGGAGCCGGCCCCAGCAGAGGGGAGCCCCTCTGAGAGCAGTGAGAGCGTCTCCCTTGTGACTCAGATTGCAAACCCTGCCTCTGTGCCTGCTGCGCAGCTACAGACTGGAGCGCAACCAGCTGGGACCGGAGATCTCTCTCAGAGGCTGCTGGAGGCCACCTCAGAAGAGCAGAGCTCCCTGCCAAAGCCCCCAGAACCTGGCCATCGTTCTGCACCTGCCCGGGAGTCAGCAGCATCCTCAGAGCAACCGGCTGTTACAGAGCAAAAAGAGGTGGAGAGCAAAGCCCAGGGCAGGACAGAGACTCTGAAAGAGGAAGGACCAACAGATCTACGAGTCTTTGAGCTGAACTCGGATAGTGGGAAATCCACTCCCTCCAACAACGGCAAGAAAGGTGCGTACGTGGCGCCTGGAAGCCTTCTGCTGGGGGTGGCAGCTTTTGGGGAAAGGGCTCTGATTTTCTGGTGGGGTGGGGGGGGAGAAAAGGGATTTTGGTAAAATCATCCCGGAAGGTTAGATCCAAAGACTGTCTAATGGCCAAACTAAAGTGAAAGCAAATCGTTATGCTGTTGGGCAGGGTCAAGTGCATCACATCAGATGGTGACAATCTGCTCTCAGGAGGCGGCTGGGCCGGTGCCGCAGCTGGCTCTGGCCCGAGCCCTCTCCTGAGCCCCATTCCTGGTGTTCCCTCAGGAGAACAGAGGGTGAGACTCCCCTGGACCCCGAGGAGGGATGTGTCGCAGCTCTGGCTGATGCTATTTACAAGCCTTTCATTGCAGGGGATTCTGCCTTCAGCAGAGCCTGCTGCAGGCCTCCCAGAATGATGCTTATGTTGGTTATAGGATTATAAAGCCCCTGGAAGCAACCAAAGCTCCAGCGAGGTGGCCAAGTATCAGGAACTGGGCCTGTGAGCAGAATGAAATCAGACGAGACCAGAAGTCTGTCAGCTGAACAGGGTGGACCTTTGGTCCCCGGCCTGCTGGGTGCCGGGGCAAGGCCGCGGTCTGTGCAGGGAACGTGGTGTTTCCTTCCCTCCGCACGCCGCCCCTGCGGTGTCCCTGCTGCTCCTCTGCCCCAGGAGGTGGTTCGTTCTGTCCGGGAGTGTGACGGTCCCCATATCTAAGTCACTCCTGCCATTCCTTATCTGTTGTGTTTTCTGTGTGACTGAAGCGTGACACATCCTAGTTCTCCTAGGCCAGAGGAGAACACGTTTCAGCATTCACCTCTCCCACTTGTTCTGAAACAGCCCTTGCTGCGAGGGAAGTGCAGTTCAGTCCGTCCCGTCTCTGTCAGCGAGCTGACAGCCGGCTCTTGGGAACAGGGGAGGCTTCCTCTCCTCGCTGCGGTAGATCCGAGCCTTGTGAATGCCAGAGCTTTGTGGGCCTGCTTGGGCAGCTGTGTGCTTTGGCCAGAGCGTCTGGAGAGCACGTGCGGCTCCGATGGCTCAGTCGGGATGTTTGTGGTTACAGGCTCCAGCACCGATATCAGTGAGGACTGGGAAAAGGATTTTGATTTGGACATGACCGAAGAGGAGGTGCAGCTGGCGCTCTCGAAGGTGGAAGTGTCTGGGGAGGTGAGTCGAGGGGAGGTGCTCACTCAAATAGGCAAGAAGATTGCTCCCAGAAACCATCAGCAACTCCTTGGGGTGATGCTGCGTGAGCTCTGCCGTTGCTGGGTGCTTCCCCTGGGAGGTGGGGAGAGGCTGCAGCGCCTCAGAGCACGAGGGTGAATCCCTCGGCTCGAGCTCCGCTTCCAGCCCCTGTGCTGGAGCCGAGGCTGCGCAGCACGTTTCAGCGAGACGTGGCTGCCGCTGGCCTGGAAGGGCAGTGCTGCAGCAGGCAGCTGCCTGCCCAGAGAGCTCGCAGGAGGCTTCTCAAAGGCGGCGTTTGTTCTTTGAGGACACAGGCATAGCTTGGGATCTCGGCGTGGGAGTCATGGGTGTTAGCTGGAGCAGAGGGTGGCTGTTTGGACGTGCTTAAAGAGGGATGAGTGTGCGAGTTCCCCAAGGGGAACAGAGCAAGCAAATCCCTGGTGTGAGGGCGTGGGAGCGTGAGGATGTGTCAGGCTTTGTGCTGACTCAGGTGCCCCGGGCAGGAGGATCTCTTGATGGATGGCTGCTGAGTTACAGAAACAAACTGAGGGATGTGACTCTTGTTTGCAGCTGGAAGATGAAGAGTGGGAAGACTGGGAATAAAGCGACTGCTTCCAGTGTGTGTCACAGGCTCATTTCCACCATCGAATGTGAATTAAATCACGGACTGGCTGTTCCTTTGTGTGTAGCTGTGCTGGGGATTGCAGTTCCAGGCTGGAGGCGTTTCATTCCT